ACATTTTATTTGTTCATTCTTCAGTTGATGGACATTTTAGGTTGTTTTTACTTTATGCCTTTTATGAATAATGCTGCTATAAATATTTGTGTACAGATTTTTGGGGGTACATGTTTTCATTTATCTTGGTAAATACCTAGGAGTGTCATTACTGTGTCATTTGGTAATTTAACATTTAACTTTTTAAGGAACTACAAACTTGTTTTCCACAGTGGCTGTGCCATTTCATGATTCCCTTGGGAATGTATGAGGGGTTTGGTTTCTCCCCAGACTTGTCAACACTTGTTATTGTCTGTCTTTATTTTAGCCAGCTAACTGGGCATGAAGTGGAATCTCATTTTGGTTTTGATTCCCATTTCCCTAATGCCTAATGGTATTAAGACTCTTTTTCATGTGCTTTGTTGGCCATTTGTATATCTCCCTTGGAAAAATGTCTACGAGTCCTTTGCCCTTTTTAAAAGTGGATTGTCTTTGTGTTGTTGAGTTGTAAGAGATCCTTGTACATTCTGGATACAAGTTTCCTTATCAGATATCTGGTTTGTAAATATTTCCTCCAATTCTGTGGGTAGTTTTTACTTTCGTAGTGGGATCCTTTGAAACACAAACATTTTCTATTTTGATGAAGTTCAATTTATTTTTACTTCTGTCACTTTTGCTCTTGGTGTCATGTCCAAGGAAAACTGTTTTCTAGTCTGAGGTCACAAAGATTCATTCACTGGTGTTTTTCTAAAAGTTTCATGATTTTAGCTCTTATATTTTGGTCTTTTGATTTTTTATTTAATTTTCATGTGACACCTAATGGCAGGGGCTCATCCTCATTCTTTTGCCTGTTGTCATCTAGTTGCTGGACACTCTGAGAAGATTGCTCTTTTCCTACTGAATTATCCTGGCACCTTTGTTGAAAATCAATTGGCCACAAATGTAAGGGTGTAGATCTGGACCCTCGATTCGATTCCATTGATCCATCTGTCTACCCTCATGCTAGTCTTAATTACTGTAGCTTTGTAGTATTAATTAATGTTTTAAATATCTATTTCCATAATCTTCTTTGTTCCAAGAAAGAATTTGGGGCCACTCTCAAAAAATACAGTGTGTAGAAAAGGATCAAGATAGTTACGGAAATTAGGGAAGAAGAGGCAGGAAAAAAAAAATAAAAGGATAGTACACAGTACTGCAAGTTGTAAGATTTTGTGAGATTGCGACCGATGGCCTCCAGATTTGGTTTTGAGCTTCCTCGTAGCCAAAGGTAAAATGGAAATATGACTTGACAAGATTGTGTGTGCACAAAATAAAAGTTTTTTTTTTTTCTTTAGGGAAAAACCTCTGTTTCTAGGGACTGAAACATAAGAGAGTTTCTCTGTGGATCTTAGGAAGAGGAGCTTCTCATGTAGTAATTATTTCATGTGTGTTGGTTCTGTCCCTTTGGTTTGATAGCACCCTGAGAGGAGGAACCTTGTCTTACTTCCCTCCCATGCCCCCATAGTGCTTAGGATGGAGCACAAGGGCTTATAGAATCTTGGTTGGATTCTTTCCAAGATTCAGAATGTTAATTACATCCTTTATCCACAATCTGTCTCGGGACCAGTGTGGAGAGGAGAAGTGGCAGTGGTGCTTGCTGGCTGTGTTTTAGACACTGTTTCTTGGATAGAGCTTCCTGAGAGCCAGAGGAGCGGTGGGA